CACCACACTGGCCTGGCCGTTGGGTTGCAGCAAGGGGGAGAGAAGCCAAATCAAACGCTGGGGAGAGTCTTCCCCTCTCCCCAGCTTCCCAGGCCTCCTGCTTCTCCCCCGGGACAGAGGGGCCCAGTGCCGTGCAAGCACCGAGGGAGGCATGCAGGAGCCGTGGCGGCCCTGGGAAAGGCATCTCGGCTGACCCCAGCCGGCCTGTGCCATCACCTATCCCCCCCAAGGCCCAGGGTCTCCTCAGAGTGGGATAAAACATCCCCAGCTCCCCCAAAAAGCACTGCCAGCCCCAGAGGGGACAGAGCAGCTCAGTTTGGGGGGGACTGGAGGGAGTTCTCCCCAGCAAAGGGCCCGCAGCAGGCAAGTAGGAGCGTGTAAAGCAGCTCTTCCCCTGCTTACAAGCCACCAGTGACGGATGGAGCCACCACCACTAGCATGGCAGGTCAGGCCACCGCACCGAGCTCTCCGGCTGTGCCCTGTGGCCTTTTCTCCTTGTTTCCAGCTGGGATTTCCCTTGTCCAAGGCGGGGCGAATCCTCCGTAACCTCCCACTGCAAGCAAAGGCCATCACAGGGGATGGGGCCACCCCACTCCCAGCAAGGACGGGGCTGTGCGAAGGCAGGGGACAGGTCCGGGTCACTGCACCGCCATACCTGGGTCCAGTCCAAGTCCCTACCCTGCGCATTTCCCAGCACCAGCCGGTCCCACCTCCCTGTCAGCAGGATCTCCTTCATAAGGGTTATTATTTCATATGTATAGACATATTTTTAAATAATTATTTGCCTATGTGGAGCTCAGTGCTGCGTGAGAACAGCACAAACAGCCTTATCAAGGGCAGCCATGCCGCAGGGGCACTTCCTCGTGCACGGCTGTGGGACGAGGCCCCTCCATCACTGATGGAGCTGACGAAGACTGGTGGGGGGGACTGGGAGCCCCTGGCCTTCCAGCTGACCAGATACCAGGGATGATGGGCACCGTACTGCCTTTGAGAGAGGTCTGCTCAACTGCTTTCCTCCCAGCTCCGCAGCAGGGAGAGCAGCACGGCTGGGTGGGGGTTTGGTGTTAACTGAAGGGTCTTTCACAGGACAGCTCTGCAGGGGTAAAGGGAAGGACGGTGCAACCGGTCTGAGCTCAGCTGCACTTTTCCCTGGGCACAAGGGCTTCACCAGCACCTCATCATTCCCCAAATCCTGCCAGACCCAAGTGTCTGGGCCCCGCAGAGAGTCAGGGCAGCCTTGACCTGAGTTTCCCTCTCCCGGTTGCGGCTGCTGCTTCCTTTCTCCCCCTGGCAGCTGGGAGCAGATGAGGCCAAAGTCCCAGCAATCTCTGTTTTCCACTGAGAGCTGATAAACTGCACAGGCACACACCGGCAGTGATCTCCACCCATCCCAGGTTTATGCAGGAAAGAGTCAATATTTAAACCCAAGTTTGTTTCCTGGGCAGATAGGAGAATGCTGGGGCTGTAAGTGGGAGAAATCCCTGGCTCCAGCCCCAGCTCCGGACCCAAACCTCCTCCCACACCCCTTCATTTGTTCTCCTGACCACAGGTTTCACCACAGATCCCCTCTCCTGCGGGAGCTGGGCACCATCCACATCACCTGTGTTACATGAGCATCAGCTTCAGGGCCAAGCACCTGCTAATGGGGCAGCAATTTAAGGGAGGGGAGTGCCCAGCCAAAGTTTGGGTTTGCTCCTTGTCTGCTCTTGGTGTGGATGCTGTCCCCACCACCAGACAAGAACCAGGCTTAGAAATGGGAGGAGGTAAGGAAATAACTAATTAGCCTATGAATGGCAGCACCTGCTTCAAGGTTAAGGCAGTGCACTGAAAGCTGTGAAACCTGGTTTTCATTTAAATTGACCAAAAACTATATTCAAGTGTTGTGCTTCCAGCATTTTGTGGGTCCCAGTGAACTGGGCACAAAATTGCTGGCAGGATGCTTGCTCTGGTGCAGATTTAGGTAAATTCCTCAAAGGAAAGGAAGTAACACTTCTCATTGCAGTGGCTGCAGCCAGGCTGTGCACGCAGGGTGTAGGAGATTTTACAGGCAAATGACCAGCAGAAGGCAGCCTTAATTTTGAGGGTGAAGGCGTTATGTTCCTGAGCAGGTGTTCGGAGATCTGGGAGATGCGATGTCTGGTGCTGGAGTGGGCAAGAAATGAGCTAATGTGATAAAAGGCTGGTGGGTAAGGACCCTGCAAGCCGTGCAGGGGAGGACGGCGCAGCTGAGCCCACCCAATGGGCTCAGAGTGGGTCTGACAGCAGCAAAGGGTGTCAATCATCCCTCCCAAAACTGCTCAGGTCAATTTTAACCTCAAATACCTCCTTTCATGTATGTTGTTTTGAGCAGCCAAACCCACTGCTGCCTCCACCCTCGCTCCAGGTGCTCCCGGTTTGCTCAGCCTAAACCTGCTGATGTCCTACAGAGCTGAGGAAGATCAGAGGGAATCTGAGCTGCAAGAGCTGGTTTAGCCCTGGCTTTGGAGGAATAACCAAAGGAAATGCCTGTCTTAAACTGGAACCTTCCCCGAGTGAGAGAGCCTGTTATGCAAAAAAGAAATTAGTACTTTTTAACAAAAGAAACACCCAAGAGCAGTTGTTTTAGAGCTGTATTTTGGAGCATAGTTAAATCTTCTTTGAACTAACCTGTGGTGTTAGGGACCAGGGCCATGCATTATTTAACTTCTGGTACCGTAATGTAAATGGTATGGGAGGAAGGGAGGACAGACAGGACTGACTTCACAACACCGAAGGGAGCTGGGTGGGGACTGCTGGTCCCAGCAAGTACTGGTGCTGTCCCGCAGGCCTGGCGGGGAGGTGTGGATCAAACCCATCTGATGGAGGAAAACCCCTCTGAGATGGCATGCTGGGGTCCCCAGAGGACCAGGATGGGATGTGACCCCAGCTGCTGCTGTAGCAGCACATGGGAACCTGCTCAAGGACCCCAAAACCTGTTCCCAGGGAGTGCAGCACCATCTCTGTGCAAAAGACTGCTTTGTGGGGGAACCAAAATGAGGAAAATCTGCCTGGCTGCCATGACAGCACAGACTGGTGCAAAATAAACTTCTTGTTTGGGGAGCTGAGGATAAAACCCTGCCCTGCTGCCACCCATGAGGAGCCCTGACAGCTCGCATGCTTTTTGGCCAGCTCAAGGTTTATTCCTTTATCCCAGTGCTGCTGCTGCAAGGCAAACCCTTCTGTGTGTAGCCAGTAGCAGGACAGTGCCCAGCAGCAGCCCAGCGCCGCAATGCGTGGCTCCATCTCCATCAGCGAATAGGAGCTCAGTGAGGCTCGTGGTCCTGCCTGCTGGGAGACACTCATGTGGTGCAGCCGTGCCGGTCCAACCCAGGACCCATCTGCCCTGAGAAACACGTACAGGCTGCCTGTGCAGGTTACACCCAGCAGCCCTGTTGGATATATCCTATATATCCCGCTGCAAAAGACCTTCCCAAAGCAATTACCACATGCACCTTGCATCCCCCCCCAAGGGCTCTCTCCGTGTCCAAGTCCCAGCACTGCCCTGGAGCTGAGCCATCCCTGTCTCTCTGGGACTGTGCTGTTCTTTGTAGTGGGACTGTTTCCTTTTTCTGGTTTGATACTATAATTTTCCTTTCACGCCCGTGGGAGGTGGTGTGCTCCCCAGTGTTCAGGTGCCTTAAACATGGGTTGCAGGGTTGTTCTCGCCCAGGATGAGCTACCTGCCACACAAACGTTTGCCCTCTCCAGAACAGATGGGTCAGCTGCCGTAGCCTTCCCAGCAAGGCGACCTTGGATCTCTTGCCGCTTCTCAGCTTGGGCAGAACGAAGCAGTCTTTTGTCCTTGCATCTCGGGGCTGGCTAGTTTAGTACCTGTGATTTTCTGGTTTCCTGGACTTCCCCAGTGACTCCAGAGCTACAGCCTGGACCAAGGAGATGAGACAACGTCCTTCTGCTCTCTGCTACATGTCCTGGTTGAAACAGCCACGATGACGGAGCTTTGGTCCAGATGGAGCCTGAAGGCAGATCTCCAGAAGCCAACTTGTTTCTGGCCTTGCTGGAGAGGAGATGGCTTGTTCTGACAGCATGGACTTCGGATCGAAAAGAAAAAATATATGTATTGAAACAAGCTCAGGGTTTCTTGAGGAGTCAGAGTTCATCACCTCTTCCTGCCGAGGAGTCAGTCGATGGGGAAGGAGGCGGCTGGCATGGGTGCTCTGCGGAAGAGCAGGCTAGAGCCACGGAACAGCTGCCCCTGAGGAGGAGAGAGAGCCCAGGGTCAGGGCAGCCGTGCCGAGACCCGGCTGGGGAATTGCAACTGGTTTAGCAGGGAACGACTCGTGTCCACTGCAGGGCTGCACGGCCTGAGCACCCCAGGTTGCTACAGAGAAGAAAGCGGGGTTTCAGCCCTGTGGGATGACTGGTGGAGAGGGGCAGAGCCACCTCGCTTTGCTGTTTGCAATGCACTGGCTAAAAGTTTGCGGGCTGCAAGCTCGGGGTATGTAACAGGCAGACCGGTTCTGCCGTGCCTGGTACCAGAGCCAAAACTGGAGGGATGGAAACAGGTTACAGACCATGCCAAAGATGTGTCAGGCACTTTTTGGGCAGCACTGGAGACCTCAGGAAGGAGCAGGGGGAGTCCAAAGCCCTGCGTGTGCCCTGCTCCCTCACCTGAGCACTGAGGTACCTCCAGCAATGGATCCAGGATGTAAACGCAGGAGCATAGGGAGGGAGGCCGGCGCGCAACCTGCATGGCAACAAGAAATAGCTGAGATGGTCTGTACAGATGTCACATTATCCAGACAGGTAACACAAGAGCAGCAGTAAGTGTAAGTGAGGACACAGAAACAGTGTCTGCACCAAGCTGAAGGCCAAATGACTAGCTCGTTATTTACAATGCAACAGATCATGTAATTTAATTACCCCTGGAGTGTACAAACAAGGAGTGTTACCTGGATACATTAAGAGTCCAGGACTGTACACTGTATCTACACCTTCAAGAGCGAGCAGATATTGAGAAAACACTACACCAGCGGCTTGAATCCAGCCCCCTTCCCACAAGCACAAATGCAGAAGACTTCTTGCAGCAGTGGGATTGGGGAAGTGAGCTCAGTCCTGCTCCTGTCTGCACCCGTTGCTGCATTAAGAGCTTTGCTTTCCCTCGTGCTGCTCCCCAGAGCCAGCACGGTCCCTTTGATCCCTTCTGCCTCTGGTCTAGTTCAGATTGGCCCACACCACCACGACTCTCCCTATTTCTCTCCACTTGAGCTTTTAAGCTGCTCTTGTCTGTGCCCTCTGATCTAAAATTATAAGCAACCTGGGACAGGAAACAAGCCAACTCTGCGAGGTGCCGTATAGTTTACGGTTCTGCATGAAAGCTTTGCAATTGTTAGCAGAGGATTGAGACAACAAGGGGCTGGAAGAAAGGAAGGAAAAGCCTTAGATCTCAGTGTGACGGACATACCCACAGTTGTTCACTGCCATGAGATCTCCCACGAGAAGGAATGGGTACGTCAGCATGCTCACGGCGATCTGAAAGCATAGAAAACTGGTAGCCTCTCTAATGTTCATCATGTCAAAAAAGCCACTTCCAGCTTTTGCATGTTAGCAAAGTTATCCTCATCTCTGGATATGAAGGACAGACCAGCCTTTGCCCCCAGACCACGAGCTCCTACCTCGCAGCAGCAGGAAGAGGAGAAATGACACGGCAGTTGCCTACATACCCCCATCACGAATTTTGTGTAGCTCCGGATCACCAATGCCTGGCTGAACTGGAAAGAGAAACCAAAGGGATTGTGGAGGAGGTGGATGACACCAGGCTGTCACTGTCATTATGGGACATCACTCGGAGCTTGAGAGGATGGGCGTGGGGCAGGGGAAGAAGGCAGAAAGCAATGGTAACCACACTGCATCCCAGCGGAGAATCAGGGAAGACATTTGCTATCAAATCTGATCCCCTACACTGGAGCTGAAACACAGCCCTGAGCAGACACTGCACCTTTAGCGCTCTTACAGGGCTTTATCCAAAGCCCACTGTCTGTATTAAATTAGCCATTAACCCCCTCTTTACTCCTTGCAACTGCAAGTGCTTGGTACGGGCCCCCTAAACCCTCCATTGGGCACTTCCACTCACATTATCGTCCACGGCATAGGTGTTGATAAAGTGAGCCAAGAGGTTGCAGCACCAGAGGAAGATGACATCACCCAGGATGTGAGGGACTAAACCGCTGCAATGGCAAAAAGAGGGACGTGAGGTGCAGAGGGTCCCAGAGCTGCCTTCCAAGGTGCCCAGCCCTCCCTCCCTCCCTCCACCAGCGCAGAGGAACCCCACTCCCCCGAAATGCATCTTTACTTTGGGAGGAACTGAAGGGAGAAGGGGAGATTTCAGGGAAGAGTTCTCCCGGCCTTCAGACAAGGTCCTACATGTGCTGCCAGCTGCTCCGGCCAGGAGGTGCTCTGGAGTAGGAAGTTTGGGATCTACCATTTGGGCACGACTCAACCAAGTCCTCTTGTTTTAGCCCAAATCTCTTCTTGGCCCAGCTCCTGCTCTGAAACCGAGGTGAGACACAGACGAAGTGGTTTCCGTTAAGCTTGTTCTGCAGATGCTCTTCTGGATGCAGAATGAGAAGTTCATCTCTTTGTGGAATTTCTCTCCTTTTAAAAATGAAAATGAGGGGGGTTGTTCCTGCAAAACCTGCTCTACTGCAAAGTGGGATTAACTGGGGGCAGCACTCCAGTCCCTGGTTTTCCCCATCCCTGCTGCCGCCTGAGAGCACAAGGACACGGGGCGATGTGCTGCTTTGGCTTACAGCTCACGTGAGCCAAAGCACCCCCAGCTTCTGCAGCTAATGGCACTAAAACATTAACAAAGCGTTTCAGAGGGTTTCTCCAGTTTGTCAGAGCTCCCGCAGCATCAGTCGCACCAGCACAGGCGTCGAGCACAGGGTCTCCTGCTTTGGCTGTGCAGTTGTTCTGCTGTAAAAGGATCCAGGGGTGTTTTAAACCTGCCTGTTTCCCCAGCAGATTCTGAACACCAGCCTTCACTGGGCTGAAAAGAGCCGCTTCCAAGCACGCTAGTCCCAGTCATTGGTTTCTTCCCAAACACAATGCTTGTCTTTGGAGCAGGGGACTGATTTTCTTTCATGCTGGGTTGCTGCAGCAGCAGAACAGCAATTGGGACTGCATGCTCTGATCCAGCCTGCTTCACTTCCTTGGTGTTAGGGGTTATACTTTTCGGAAATAAGCTGTGTATTGTCAAGGCCCCGGCAGCCCTGGAGATGCAGCCAAGGTCTCAGGGGTAGGCACAGCAGAAGTCTTCAATAGAACAGCTGCTGGCTTAAAAGATGCAATACATGACAGCAATGGACAGGACAAAGAAATCGAAGCTCTCTGGTCCCAAAGAGATGGTCTGCTTTGCATTTAGCGTTCACCCTTTGTAAAAAATCCTTTCTCAAAATCGAGCCTGAATCGGACTCCTGAGCTGTTGCAGATACAACAGGGGCTTAATAAAGTCCAGAAACAGAGGGCTGGTCAAGGCCTGGGCCGGGCAGCCACATAAGTAAAACTTCACCCATCTGTTGATTAGAGAATGCGATTGTTCCATTTGCAATAAGGATCCCATCCCTCTCTCTCTCTCTCTCCTCCATCATCAAAGTAATGATGGATGCTGGGCCTGAGTTTATGGGATGACTGGAGACCAGGGGTCTGGGAGGTGCAGAAGGGCTCAAAAAACCAAATTCATTTGTGCCACAACTCTCATGCCTGGCAAGATGTCCAAGATCTGAACTAGGAATATTTTTAGGAGATGACAAGTCACTAAAAGCTGAAACAGCAGCAGGCAGATGAGGAAGCCTGCACGATGTATGGTGACGTGACCCAGCAGGAAAAACCCCAGTGCTGGAGAGCTGGGACAAGCCATCTTCAAGCTGGCCACGTGCAGCAGTTTTGGAGCCCAGGGAACATCTTTCCGGGCTGCTGGCAGGCAGGAGGCTGCTGTAAATACGAGGGGAAGCAAGGTAAGTCTGTGCCCTGAAAAGTCTTTATCTCTAGCCAGGCACACATCCAGCGCAAGCGTTGCCGCTGTTATTGCTGCACTGTTACAAGGCCATGAGAAATAAGTGCACCACAATGATCTGAAGGGGGCAGATGTGTTTGGGTTGCGTTAGGAGGGCTGAGAGCAGAGAAGCAGCAGTTTGGTCCTACGGATGCAGTCTGGTTTCCCTTCATAGCAGTGTGATTTCTTAAAGGGGTTGTAGAGCACATATAACTTCAGAGCCCTCCTGAGACATTTTGGGTCATGTTAAAGCCTTTCCTGTGAACTATTAAGTTTAATTAGGCTACCAACAGTGTTTATTTTATGTGGAGGAAGGGAATGCGGCAGCTCCTTTCAGGTTATTTCCTCAGGAGGTGAAGGAGAGGGAGGGCTGCTGGGCATTGTGCTCTGGCCATGCCCCATGCACAGGGAATAGCCCAGAGGAACCTGTATTTAACGGAGGAGACTTGGGGCTGCGCAGCTCAGCAGAGAAGCTATGGGCTGCAAAAGGAAGATGCAGTGACCCTCAACTGATGGGGCCTCTGCAGACCCCTGGCCCTTTCTCTCCTTGGGAAAGGATAGGGCGAGCCCCCCTGCGATTGCTTGCCTCTTCCTGATGCATTCATGTTTCATCTGAAGGCCCAAATTTTGTGATTGCAAAGCCAAAGACATCAGGCCTGAAAACCCCTCCTGAAATTTCAGAGCTGCCTTTACAATTATTGATGTAATAAAGTGAGTTATCTCCCCGCTGGGAGTGGAGGCAGCAGGTGGTTCTGCTTTTATAGACATGTGGAGAAAAAAAAAAAGGCAAGAAGGATTAACTAAGGGTTCATGCAGAAAGGTGTTTGCTAGACTTCCACTTCAGCAATGCCGTCAATTCGCCATGCTTCGTAAGTGGCTGGAAGCACCTTTCAGCTCCTTCTGGTCCAGGCAGTGCTGCCGCTGAGCCAGGCAGCATCACGTTCCCGCCATACAGGCAAACCTGCTGCCAGCACAAACCACCTGCTCATTACAAGCACCCAGGGTGCTCGTCAGAGGAATGCGCTTCTTATACAGGCCCTGGCTTTTATTTCAACAAGGGGTTTCATTGTTGCACTTGATCTTCATGCCTGTTGCACAAACAAATGCTTTAAATGGCCCTTCACTGAAAGACAAAGAAGTGTCAAGGGGAAAAAGAAAGGTAAGAAAAAATACAGGGTTTTCTCTGGGCTCTGAAGCTTTGATTGAAGACAAGATCTGGGGCAAACTTAATGGTCAAACTGGAGTGCTGTCAAAGGCACAGATTTAATCTGTGCTCATGGGAGCGATGTGAGAGTCCCAGGTCAGACAAGGTTTTGGATGGGGGGAGCTCAGCACGACTCTGAGGCTGGCAGAGTGGCCAGGAGAGCCATCGATGCCTTCAGAATACCGGAGAAAATATTTAAACAACTCACGTACATAAAGAATCCCAGGATCCCTTCTTCCTTAAATATCCTGCCAATGGCGCTGAAGACGCCGCTGCCGAGAAAGGAGAAGAGCTATAAGCGTGCAGGGGTTGCTCTGTCTCTGTCATGTGCACTCTGCAGCCACCAGCCACAGAATTATGTCCCCCCTGAGCCACTGCACCAGCAATGCAGCAGGCAGCTCCGTTCTCCTCCTCCTCCTCAACCCAAGGGTTGTGTTTGCACTCTGCCAGTCTGCAATAACGCCTGGGACAACATTCAGCTTGCGGACAACTGTTTAAATGCTGAAGCTAGAAAAGCTCTGCTTGGCTTTGTGCAAGTGAATACCTGTCCCGCAACCACGGCACATAATATGCTTCAATTAGGCTGATCCTCAGCCCAAGAACCCTGTCCTGCCTCTGTGACCTCACACTGGCAGTTGTGGGTTAGCTGCAATCATGTCTAGCATGCTTTCGGGTGGCTGTACGTGTAGTTTTGCCTTGTAGAGAGGCAGGTATTACTGAAAAAGGCTTGGAAAAATCTTGCAGGCTAGCAGGGCTGCAGCAATTCTTTGTATTGTCCACTCTGCCTCCCTGCTGACTTCCTGTTCCGTTACCACCTAAAGCAAAAAGGCACGAGACTGCAGGATCAGCAAGGTGTGTTGCAGCCACCAAAACCTCCATGGGCACAAGGTGGAACAGAGGCATGCTGGGGAGAGAGCCCAGCCTTCCCCTGCAGCCACCCACCCTCTAACCACGGCTCAGATTCACTTTTCAGTCTCCCAAACCTCCTGGGTTTCCACATCCCCCATTGCCTGGGAATATCTGGCACTGCTGACTCCCGGACTCTTGCTTCAGTGTGCCCAAACCCTTCAGAGCTGCAGCCACTCACCTGTATTTGACTTCCCGGCCTATGAACTGGACCATGCAGCGCATAGAGATCACTAGGAGGAAAGAAACACAGGGCTGACAAAGAAACAAATCCAGTTTGGGTTGCAGCAGATGTGAAGGAACCCTTCTGTCCTCCCTTCCCTCCACTCGCATCACCTCCAGCTTCTCTCGGAGACCCTCATCACTGCAAGACTCATTAGAAACCAGAACTCTCCCCTAGTCTGTAAGTCACGGGAAGGATTGCTGGCCCCAACCCCAACGGGATCTCTAGGACAAGCTCTTGGATGAATGGGAAGAGAGCACCTCGCCGCTCGCCCGGGTTAGTCCCTGAAGGCCGACCCGAGCGTCAGCCTTGCCAAGCAAACACTCAAGACCTCCATCTGTTCTGTGCTTTCGTACGAAGCCGTTTCTGATAGAGAAGCACATCGAGTAAACAGGGTTTTGGGGTGATCCCCAGCCAGGGCACGGCTCCTCATGTGGGAGAGGGCTGCCAGGCAGAGGGACAGGACTCACCGTGCAGCGGATGTGAGACAACCCGGGACACACACTGCATCATCATCTCATGAGATGTCTGGGAAGGGGAGAAAAAAACCACACCTGTATGAAAAGCTGTGCTGCTTCACCTGCACAGGTCAGGCCCTCTTCCTTAGTGACGTGAAACCCATTTTGAGTCCCTTTTTTTGAAATCTGTTGCTCGTGGTAAATCTCTATTCCTAAAAAATATTTCACAGCTGGCCACAGAGTGGTACTAAATGCCACGGCCTTTTTACCCAGAATTTCTCCCCAAGTAATTTCATCCACAAACCACAGCTTAAGCTTCCTTTGCTCTCCAGGCACATCCCCAATGCGATCTCCCCCATCACTCATTAACATGCAATATCCATTTCTCACCTCTTCCACCACTTTCCTAAAGGAGGTTTTCACATCATCCTTGTTAGAAACGTGCTCCATGTCCTCCAGTGGAAAGGCCTGAGCGGGGAGAGAAGACACATACGGTCAAAACTGATGGAGATGCTGATCCACAAACTCTCATGTCTGAGGACAGGAGGAAGGCACAAGCAGGTGTGCTCTAGATGGGAAGAGAAGAAAAACGGGCAAGAAGAAACACAGGAGAAGGAAGGATGGAAAGTAAAACAGGGGAAGAGAGGAGGTCATGAAACAGCTTACGAAAGATAAAAGGCAAGTGGTTGTTCACATTAAATTAAAATTGATTAAAAAATAAGTTTTAGGGATATAGGCAGTGTTCTCCTGTCCTGAAGGACTATTCAGAGCCCTTAGGAGAGGGACAGGCACTTTATTCCTCCACGTGCAGTCGTGGCTAGGTGCAGGCACATGCCGGCTTCCCTGGTGCTGCTGCAGTAGCACCGGCCAACCCAGCGAGCTGATTTATGGAAAGAGAAGCCAACCTTTACCTTCTTCACGCTCCCCCTGGTGATGGTTGATAAAGTGCTTGAGATGAGGCGAGGAGTAAGGCCGCGGAAGAGGCCTCTTTTCCCATCCACTTCTACAATGTGTCTGGCTGGGTAAGAAAACACCAGGTTGCCATCAGTTGGGAACCGGCTGACTCGTGGAGAGCATCTCAAACACCTCCGGCGTTCAGCCGAAACTGCGCTGGAGCTCAGCATGGCACAGCAGCTGCTCTGTGGTCCCACCATAAGTGATTTAGTACAACAGTCCAAAATAAATTTCATAGAGGATGCAAAGAATCCTTAAGTATTCTCTGTCACATCTGTCTAATCTGAAAGGATAGCTCCAGTCTTTTGGGCTACTTTTCATCTTTTGATTGTCCCTCCGTACCCTGGTTCAGTCCAAACTGCCTTGTAGCTCTTTCAGGTGAGCAAAACAATCTCACGTGTGGTGCCACCTCCTTCCTCCACCTTGGGGGGTCAGACTCAGGGTAAAGACAGATCTCACAAACCCAGGTTCAGTTCCTGCCCCACCACCTTCTCCCCAGCAAACTTCCTCAAGTCTCTGGCCAAAATAACCAAAAAAGCCCACGGATCCAATTTCTTCCTGGTATAACAAGGTGGAATATAAGCCACCATGTGCTTGTGGGTACCAACTGCTCCTGCCCCCCCATCCTCTGCTGTCCCAAGGGAAGCTGGGAAGGCTCTCACCATCTCCATCACGCAGTGCTGTAAATCCGTTGGGAAAATGCATCTTCTGCATGAGTGTTTCCAGCCCTGGGCATTCCAGGATGGGTTTGCCGTGCTAACGTACTGCTCCTGCACTGGGTCCCCCCCCACCCTGTGGGTACTGCTGTCCCATTTGGGGATCAGCCCAACTTTTTTTTTTTTTTACTTCTAAACATATTACCTTCCCTTTTCTTGGTATTTCTGTCCCTTTAGGACTCCATTTACAACACAAATGAGCAGGGCAGGGGGGCAAGTTATTGCAGGGCTGTTCTGTAGCAAAGAAAGGCGCTTTGCTCTAACACACGCAAAACCCTCCACCAACAAACCTACACCACCTAAACCCCTGCCACCCCCTCCGCTACGGTGCAAACCCAGAGTAACGTGCCATGGGAAGAGGGATGCAGCACCAGAGCCACCCCCTCCTTGACCCAACAACAGGTAGGTAAATCTGATGGTTTTGCAACTCGTTTTATGGCTCATTGCAGCTATGGGATGATCCCAAGGGGATGCGCGAGTGCTGCTGGAGGGCAGCTCGGTCGACCTGGCAGGTTCCAGCCCCATTTTTGGGCAGGTCCTGGTGCTGGCAGGGAGGGACGTTCCCTCACCGTAGGTGAAGAAGCCGGGCAGGTACAGGACTTTCCTTCCCAGCACGTTTCTTCCAACGGTTGGAGGTAGTGGCTCATGCCCAACCTGCAAGAGAAACCCCGTGAGCAGGTCCCTGCTCTGGTGTTCCCGAAGCTCCCGGCCGCGTGGCCTCGGTCCTGGCATCCGCGAACTGCCGAAGGGCCACGTCCCCCCCCCCGTCACCCTCTGATACATGTGGATGCCATGACTTGAGCAGTCCCTTTCCTGTCATACGAGGGTCCCTAGGGAGCAGGGGGTCCTCACCCCTCCCACCTTATGGGGGGCCCTCTTACAGAGGGGTTCTCAGGATACCCATGCTATAGGGGTTTCCCATCCCTCCTTATATAGGAGTCCCGATCACAGAGGGTATCCTCATCCCTCCCATTTCAGAGGGGTCCCCACTCTATAGGGTGTCCCCATGCCCTGGCACAGGAGGGGGTCCCAATGCCCCTGCCCTAAAGCGGGGTCCTCATCCCTCCAATACAGAGAGTCTCCTATTCCCTGTTATACAGAGGCTCCCCGTGGCAGAGGTATCCTCAGACTTCCCCGTTTCACAGCTGCCCTCATCCCCCACCGTGAGACAGGGTGACCTCAGCCCTGTGACATGCGGCGGTCTCGTTACATGGGGGTCCTCCCATTGCACGGGGTGTCCCGTTATAAAGGGCGGGCTCCATAGGGACCTCTTCCCCCCGTCACACCGAGCTCCCGATCCCCCGTTACACATGGGGTTCCCGTC